CGGGTCTCTGCTTTATCCTGTACTGGTGGGACTGGGATGCATGAGGCAGGGGGAGGATTGCACCAGAAGGTGCTGGAGAGGACAACAGGGCTGTGCTGTGCTGGACCTGGCAGTGACTTGGTGCCTGCTCGCTCTCTCCGCTGTAGATGCAGTGCGGTGAGGGGCTGGCGGTGCTGTGGAGCCCGCCCGACCACATGCACTTGTACCATCACACCCTGGCCACCCTGCAGTGCCATGAAGCCTTGCGGAGCGCTCTCCGCCCACAGGACACCTCCCTCCCTGCCCCCAGAGAGCCCAGCGTCCCACCCAGCCACCCCTACCGAGACACCGGGGCCTCTCCAGCCGGATGGGACCCCTCCCAAAAGACTCCTGTCCCTCTCACTGGAGCTGAGCTCTGCCAAGCTCACAGCCTTTGTCTCTGAAGCCAACTACATCAGCCTGGCTGCCGAAAGGACCTCTGTGAGCTGGCACGGTGGTGCCCTGCACGGCTACTGCCCTGAGCTGGCTGCCGGCTTTGACGGACACAGCATCTTCAGCTTCAAGGAGGTGGAGGTGAAGCTGCTGCCAGAGCTGGAGGAGGTCATCTTGCACCGCTGCGCCTTCCCCACCCTGCGCACCCTCCGCAACCGTGGCTGGGCCTTCTCCTGTCTGCACCGGCGCGGGCGCCCTGCCAGCACAGCGCTGCCCCCCGACCTGCTGCTCAAAGTGACGCACTTCTCCTGGGTCTTCCTGGACGACGTCTTTGAGGTCAAGCTACGAGACAACTACGAGCTGATGAAGGACGAGAGCAAGGAGAGCGCCAAGCGGTTGCAGCTGCTGGACGCCAAGGTGGCTGCGCTGCGCAAACAGCATGGCGAGCTACTGCCTGCGCGCAAGATCGAGGAGCTTTACGCCTCTCTGGAGAAGAAGAACATTGAGATCTACATCCAGCGTTCGCGGCGCCTCTATGCCAATACGCCCATGCGGAGGGCCCTCCTCACCTGGACCCTGGCCCACCTGGAGCTTGTGGCCATGGCTGATGAGTCCTTCCATGGCACGGAGCGTGTGTTGGAGCAGATGAGGGACCTGGATGGCGTCAGCCCGTTCCCCCCTGAGGGTCTGGAGATGGTCACCCAGTGGTGCCGCATGATGAAGGGCAGAGTTGGCAGTTTCTTTGGTGAGTTGCTTTGCGTGAGAGTGCCCGTGGAGGACAGCACAGTGGCTGTGTGGCCTGGGCTCCCGGGGCAGGGACCTGCTGGCACCCCGTGGTGTGTAGCCGAGAAGGGCCCA